TGATGATTAGTGATGTTGAGCATCTTTTCATATATCTGTTGGCCATCTGTGTGTCCTCTTTGGAGAAGTGTCTATCAGGTCCTCTGCCCATTTTTTACTTGGATTGTTTGTTTTTCTGATGTTGAGTTATGAGTTCTTTATACATTTTGGGTATTAACCCCTTATTGGGTGTATCATTGGTGAATATCCTTTTCTTTTAAAGATTTTATTTTTAGAGAGGGGAAGGGACAAAGAGAGGAAGAGAAAGATCATTGTGTGGTTGCCTCTCAAGCACCCCCTAGTGGGGCCTGGCCTGCAACATAGGCATATACCCTGAGTGGGAATCGAACTGGTGACCCTTTTGTTTGCAGTCTGGTGCTCAGTCCACTAAACCACACTAGCGAGGGCTTGCAGATGTCTTTTTCCATTCAGTTGGTTGTCTGTTCATTTTGTTGGTGGTTTCCTTTGCTGTACAAAAACTTTTAGTTTGATTTAGCCTCTTTTGTTTATTTTTTCATTTGTTTCCCTTGCTTGAGGAACTATATAAAAAAATATTGCTAAGAGAAATGTCCGAGATTTTACTGCTGTTTACTTCTAGGAGTTTTATGGTTTTGAGTCTAACAATAAGGCCTTTAATCTATTTTGAATTAATTATTGTATTTGTGTAAAGTTGGTCTAGTTTTATTTTTTTTGCATGTATCTGTCCAATTTTCCCAGCGTAGTTTATTGAATACATTGTCTTTACCCATTGCATGTTCTTGTCTCCTTTGTCATGTATTAATTGACCATATAGGTGTGGGTTTATTTCCGGGCTCTCTGTTTTGTTCATTTGCAGATCATGGATTTCTGACCGAACTGGTCCAAATGCCTGAGTATGATTACATGATCAGGAAATCTCAGAAATCAAGAAGTTAACTAATTAGAGCATAATTCAACTGAGAAAACCTCAGCTTGTCTGTTTTAATATTACAACTTTTTGCTGTGAGACAGATTTTTAAGATGCATAGGAAGAGTACTTGAAGTCTGTGATGACCGCAGGTCTTTATTTGGAGTTCGCAGTGCTGTGACCGTTCTAGTTACTCAATGAGGGCCTTGTGTTTCCATCAGTGCTGCACCGCCTGCTGCACCGCCTTCATTCTCTGCTCTTCGCTGTTGGGGTATCCTCGGAAAGAAGTCAAACCAGCCTTTCTATAGAAGCAGCTTGTAACCATAGACAGACATTTATTTATGTGAAGATAAGATAGATTGGCTTTTATTATCTGAGGGCAGCTCATGTGCTTGGTTGCACCAGCACTAACATAAAGATGACATATACAATAAAATATTATAACCTAAGAAGACAAAAGATGTCCTTTACAGAACACTAGTACTCTTTCTTGTTAGGGAACATAATTAACCTTAAGTCAATAGGTACCTGCTAAAACAATTTCAAAATAGATGTTTTAATTTAGAATTGGGTTGTTGAACGGGATATAAGAGTTGTATTTTTAATAGCAACAGAAGCAGTTTTATCTTGTTAAAAATTTTTTCTTCATTAAAAAGAACTTGCTCTTCCATGAGATGCTACTTGTTGGTAAATGGAATTCTGAAAATTTTTCTTTGAAAACACAGTATTGATATCTTTAATTTAATAGAATGTAAAAGCAAATAGTAAGTGGTTTGCTCTCTGGTATATATAACCCGTAAAACTAAAAATTAGGTGACCTAATTTCAGGTTTTTTTGGTGTTTGATTTTTTTACTGAGACTAAACACAGACTTTTTTTTTTTCTTTAAAGATTTTCTTTCTTTATTTTCAGAGAGAGGATAAGGAAGGGAAAAAGAGGGGGAGAGAAACATCATTTGGTTGCCTCTCACTCACCTCCAACTGGGCTGACCTGGCTTGCAACCCAGGCATGTGCCCTGATAGGGAATCAAACCAGCAACCTTCTGGTTTGTAGGCCGGCACTCAATCCACTGAGCCACACTAACTAACCTGGGCTTTTAAAAATATATATTTTTTACTTATTTATTAAATGCAGACATCTGTTAAATGGTGAAGCACAGTTACAGGGAAGTTTTAGGATTCATTTATGACTTGATAGTAATATTGTCAGTTGTGCTGGGATGAGCTGAGAGCCCAGTGACGTAATGCCAGCAGAGTAGAGACCAAGCAGAGGATGGGGTCACAGGACAGCCCAATGTGTCTGAGCACTTCACCTCCTTTGGGAGAAGTGAAACTCGGAGCACAGCTGTCCTCTGCACCTAGGGACCTCTAGGTAACCTCTGACAGGGCTTACGTATTTGAACCACATGATATAAAATAAATGGGTACCCTTTGTAGTTTGAATAGAAGATGTAAGTGTTAACCATCTGATACTGGTTTCCAGTGTGAAATGGTCACTTAAGCTTTTGTTTTCAGTCTTTTCAATATTCAACATAAAAATAAAGGAATTCTGTACTAACTATATAGGTCCTACATATTTAAGTATGTTTCTTGACATTCACTTATCCACTGCTTTTGACAATACAGTGGTAGGGAGAGTTTACTTAGATCTGTTCTAAGCATTCGTAATCTTTAACTCTTTTGTAGAGGCAAATACGATAGACCATTCAATATTAAGTAGTCTCTTTTATCTTTTCTGTGTGGAAAGGCCATTAGCATTTCCATTGAATTTGCTACTCTGAGGAGTAATGGTGAGGTTGCTCTCCTATCCACTTAACAATGTAATCAATCATTTTAATCTTAATATGGGGTACTGGTGAATGATGATGGAACCTTGACTCATATTTTCACTGGCACCTTCCATTTGAAAATGGAATTGGTATTGTGGTACATAGTGAAACATGCAGCAGCGTAGGTGTTAGAAACCTTGCTTAATTTTGTCCTTCAGATGTTATTAAGATGGTGATCTTGGCTAAGTCATCCAAAGCTAGTCGGTCTTCAGTTTTCTGTGTGGAAATGAGGGCTTTGAACTAAATGATCTCCAAGAATTTTAGTTCTTATGTGAACATATCATATGTAGACCAGCATCATGCAGACTTTTAATAAATACTATGAGCAATATGTATGTGTTCATATTTGTGTTTACTTTGAAACTTTTGTTAATTTGAATCAGTGTATGTGTAGTATGTGTATTTCCTGCTTGACAGAAGTTATTCAGGGCACTTCCGTTTTACAGCATGTTAAATTTATTAGTGCTACAAATTAAACTACTTAAAATTTTAAACTCTTTATAGATTGAAAACATTTTAACAATACTTTTTAGAAATTTGTTTTTTGAAATATGGCTTAAGATCCTTTTAATTTAAATGGCATTTATAAATTTAGTATTCATTTTAAGTACTTAAGTTATATGACAAATATTTCTAAGTACTCAACTCTTAAACGTATTTATGGATTTTATAAAATTTTAAATACATTTTTTATTTTACAATTATAAGCTAAAATCAGTTATGACATTTTAAATTGGAATTACAGTTTTATTTTCTAGATATACTAATATAAATGGCTTCTTAATCTAAGTACTTAGAAATAGCAAATATGTACCCGTTATGCGCATATCCAACCCAAAACTGTTAAACTGTAGGCCTGAGTTACTTTTTCACTCCCTCCCAGTTTTAACCCACACACTTTCTCCCTCCCTCCCAAATCACTAAACAAACAAAAGGCCCTTTTATTATACCTGTATTCTGAATCTCCCTGAATCATCAGGATCTTTTTAGTTTCACCATCTGAGGCAATTTGAGGTTACCTTTCCAAACAAATTTAGAGTCGTGTTATCAGATAATTGAAGTTGAATCTTATGAAAACATTTGGAATCTACAGTTGTAGGTGTCCAGAAGGATTTTTTTCATATGAAAGTGGACATAAGTCGAGCCTAGTTTTTAGTCTCTACCAACAGTGACTCTGCGGCCGTGCCTTCTGAGTCAGGTGGTCTCCGAGCCTGCCACCCGGGACCCAGGTGCACAGCACTGAATCAGTCCTCAAGTATGAGGAGCCTGTAATCCTTGTGCCTAGGATGCTTCTGGCCTGTTTCAGTTGTGTTTATTACTTGATTCAGTTCTGTATTATTTTATTTGGCAGTCTATAATTTCTAAGTGTTGTAAGTATATTTTAAAATAAAACAACTTGGATTATGCATGCCTCCCATGTCTTATCCGGGTTTACAGTTACAGTTCTAAGGATTCTCATGACAGTTTTAACTTGCAATTTTCTGGAACACAAAGAATGTTTATATCTTAAACTTGCAGAGAGCACATGAACAGAGATTATATATATTTGGATCACAACCCTGTCCTATTCATATCATGTAACGTGATAACTTAACTCTCCAATTGTGTATTGTAAGCGTTTTGGCAGGGACTTGACGCCAATGCTGTCCAGTGGAAACGCAGTGGGAACTACACGTGTAATTAGAGTTTTTCTAGTAGCCACGTTAAAATTCAGTAACAATGAACAGATGAAATTAACTTTAATATTTTATTTAATAGTACAGTAAATGATATTTCAACATGTACTCAGTATAAAAATTATTGATATATTTAGCATTCTCTTATTTTTCATAACAAGTCTTCAAAATCCTGTGTTATTTTTTTAAAGATTTTATTTATTTATTTTTAGAGAGAGGGGAAGGGAGGGAGAAAGGGAGAGAAACACCAATGTGTGGTTGCCTCCCACACACCCCCGGCTGGGGACCTGGCCTACAACTCAGGCATGTGCCCTGACTAGGAATTGAACTGGGGACCCTTTGGTCCACAGGCCAGCACTCAATTCACTGAGCAACACCAGCCAGGGCAAAATCCTGTGTTACTTTATTTACAGTGCACAACTCTGGTCAGACTAACCACATTTCAGGTGCTCAATAGTCCCAGGTATCTACTGGCTACTGTACTGGGCAGTACTGTCTTAGGCTTTGCAACTTAGTGCTAGTAACATAATTGTTGCTTTGTGTGTGACTGTGTATGTTTATTATAGTTACAAAGTTCCTTCATTGAATCAAGTATAAGATATTTAAAAATGAATATTTGTTTTCTCTTAAAGGCCCTTCCTTCTTCCATGATTATAGTTGCAGTTTATTGTCCTGTGATAGCCGCTGTTTTCATTGTTCTGAAGATGGTCAACTATCGACTCCACAGAGCACTTGATGCTGGAGAAGTTGTAGACAGGAACACAAAGGAGTTCACAGATCAGCGAGCCAAAGCTGAGCAAGGCAACTGTTCAACTAGGAGAAAGGACAGCAATGGACCGAGGTAAGGGAACCCATGTCACTCTGTAATGGTGCAGAGCGTGTACAGTGCGGGGATACTGTGTTGTGCCTGTTCTGTCTGTGTGGTTTTTAGGCAGTGATGGGTCTTAGCACTATGGATACCGTGACGAGTGCAGATTGTCACATTAGATCACAGCAAAGCTAACTGCCATAGCGGGGGGATTAAATCAATGTCCTTATCCTTACTGCTAAATAACATATTGGAATCAGTAGTTATAATTGTATAATTATATAATTGAAAAAGAAAGTCAATGAGAAACAGTCTAAAGAAATAATAAAGCATGACTTATAAATCTTAGTACTTATATATTTTTATATTTATAATAATAAAATGTATATATCTTTACTAAACTGGAATATTTTACTTCATATTTATAATTGAATTTTTCACTTAATCTATTGTAAATATTTTTCAATTTTTTATTTTCACCCTAGAAACCTAGCTACTCTCTCCCTAGATCTTTACATAACTGACTTCTTGGAGTTCAAATCTGTGTAAATGTCACCTCCTCCTGGAGGCTCCCTTTTCTGTCCCAGCTCAAGTGTTCTCCCTGGGGTTCAGTCACATTCTATTGCATTATCTTGGCCCTTCCCACTGTCTCTTTTTGATAGAGGGACTTTATCCATAGCCAAAAGTTTATTGTGACTTTATAGACATGATTACCACCAGTATAACTTATAAAACAGTTTTTATGTGAACAGTTGACGTCCATAAGTCCATTCAGTCTTAAAAACAATTCTGAGGTACACATTGTGATTATCCCTGACTAACAGATGTGGAAACTAAGGTGAGAAAGATCCAGAGTCAGATCTGGAGTCCATGCCTTTAACCACTATGCGATGTTTCCACTCACTAAGATATGAGGTATTTCAGGTATCAAGATAGAAATGCTGTAAGACAGGTAATGTTTCTGTGTATTTTCCAGTGCAATGAAAGTCATTTATCCTTTTTCAAATATATCAGGGGCACCTCAAAAAAACCAAGGAATTATCTTCGGGAGCATGTGTGCCTTGTAGTAGAGGCTTTTCCTGCTAGGTGGGTGTTCTGGGGACCATCTGTATCAGTGGACCAGCTGACGTCGTTGTGAGAGGCTGCGTTTGGCTTCAGTGAGTTTTTTCGAAGACTGTCAGCAGTTCGCCCATGTCATATCGGGTGATTTCCCAGCACACCTGTCCACACCACGCTGGGTGTTCAGCAGTTTTTGACCAAAACACCTTGGCCCCTGTGCCCTGTCCTCCTATTTACCTGATCTTGCCCAAGCAACTTTTTTTGTTACCCTGGATGAAAAAGTCCTAAGAGGGAAACATTTTGCCCATGTGGAAGAGGTGAAACAAAAAAATGGCAGAAGCACTAAAAGCCTTCAAAATTGACAAGTTCAAAACTGTTTTGAGCAGTGGAAAAAATGTCTCAATAGGTATCAAATGTAGAATACTTTGCAGGTGACTAAAGTTTAAACGTGTAAGAATAAATACACAGTTTTTTTTAAGTAAACTCCATTTCTTTTGGGTCACTCCTCGTATTTTCTCCATCTCTAGCATGATTACCCTTTTTCTGCATTGAACAAATAGTTTGTGCTTGTCAAAATTATGTTCATAGCATTAATCAGTATCTGCAGTTATCTTGCTTAGTCCTTTGTTAGTATAACACTTGTAAGTTTCTTGAAGGCAGAGAACTTTCCCCCCTATAAACTGTTATATTCCCAGGCTCTAAAATAGCATCTGACACTGAGAGGTACTCATGAAATATTTGAAAGAGTGAAACCATTTCCTTTTCTGTTGATACTATTTTTGACTTAACAGTTTTCCATTTTGTGGGTATATATATTTAATTATCATGTTTTTAGTTATTTCAATTATTTTCAAATATAAATATTGATCACTATGTTTAAATTTTAAATGAGTAATTTAATCATAATTTAGAATTACTAGAAAGCTACATCAGTTTTTAAAATTTTCAGTATATATTGCCAAATTCTAAAGATTTTACCTTGTAATTACAATGACCACTAGTTTGAAGGCTTTTTGTTTTTTTGGTACTTTTGATAACACTGAGTGTTGAGTATTTTGACAGAACTGTGGTAGAGATGTTGTTTAATTATTCAGTGTTTGGATTACTAGTGAAATGGAGGTGGTTTTATTGTGTTATTGGTCAGTTGTCTTTCTAATGGTGGTTAGTTTTTTTGCTATTGATTTGGAGAAGATATTTATGAAGGATATTAATTATCTTATGTCAGATACTTTATGGCATTTTACTTATTTACATGCCATAGTTTTTCTTTTTAAAAAATATTTTATTTATTTTTAAAGAGAGGAGAAGGGAGGGAGAAAGAGAGGGAGAGAAATATTAGTGTGTGGTTGCCTTTTTGATGCCCCCTATTGGGGACCTGGCCTGCAACCCAGGCATGTGCCCTGACTGGGAATCGAACCGGTGACCCTTTGGTTTGCAGGCCGGCACTCAGTCCACTGAGACATACCAGCCAGGACTACTTCCTATATTTACAGTGACTGATTTGTCTTTGCTTTTAGGAAGCAAAAGACAAATCATTTCTTTGCTATAGTGTGCACGTGGCTCATATCATAAAATATGTGCCATATTCAGTATTCTGTAATTCTAATTAGGGTCAGTTTCTAATGCTGGATTGCGTGTAGAAAGTTTGGGAGAATTATAAAAAATATTTTAAAGTAGTAATGTGATTATAAAATAGTTCAAATTATTAGACTTACAAATGAAGAATGATCTTTTTTTTTGCCATTTGCTCTATTAAAAATCAGAACTTCTTTACTTTGAGAAAAATACCAAAGAGGAAACCATTGGTGGTGGAGTAATGGCGGTTGCTCTCTCTGACTCGTTTTTGCCAACAGCGATCCTGGTGGAGGGATTGAAATGTCTGAGTTCATTCGAGAGGCCACGCCGCCAGTGGGGTGCAGTTCGAGAAATTCTTATGCTGGCCTGGATCCAAGTAACCAGGTGGAAACCTATATGATGTTATTTTGCCTTTTCCCCCCTCTTGATAAAGGGTCTTAGGAATTCTGTCTGCAGTAGTCATTTAGTGTTTGGGTTTATCTTGCTTATTAATAATTTTTATTGTTTATTAATATCTCTTGTAAATATTCTATTTTTTTAACTGAGTTTTCACATTAAGTACATTTTTTCCTTAGCATAGAGTTTAATAAACAGTTTAAAATATTACAAAGCTCATTTTTTGTTGCCTATATCAAGAATTTATTAGTAGTTTTAACATGTTTGTGTCTGCTTATTTTTCCTGCCATGTACATTTCATAGAGCATAGTATACATGCCTTAGTGTACAGCTCAGTGGATTTTTACACACATGTTTATACTATATACATAAACACACACCAATTTAATTGCCATCCAGATCAAGAATATTGTCCATGACCTTTCTAGTTCAACATTTACCTATATTTTGAGCAAGTTTCTTATTGTGTATTTTTGCTCCATTGAATCAATGAAAGGATAGATTTAGTAAAATATAAAATATCATTTGAAAGTTTTTAATTTTCTTCTAAGATATTAAATTTGTTGAGGGTTTTCTTCTTGGCTCCCTTGAAAACAGATTATAGAAAGATTTACTAAGACTTGTTAATTTAGTAATTGTCATGTTGTTATATTTTGTTTCCTGAAGTTGTTTGTGGAATTTGTGGTATTTGTTTATATTTTTAAAGATTTTATTATTTGTTTTTGGTTTTTTTTTTAGAGAGAGTGGGAGGGAGGGAGAAATAGAGGGAGAGAAACATCTCAATGTGTGGTTGCCTCTTACAAGCCCCCTACTGGGGGCCTGGCCTGCAACCTGGCCAGCCATGTGCCTGACTGGGAATTGAACTGGTGACCCTTTGGTTCGCAGCCTGTGCTCAATCCACTGAGCCACACCAGCCAGGGCTGTTTATACAATTTTTATAGTAGTGTAATAAATGATGGCTGTGAAATTTTAGGGAAATGTTATACCATCTTTAGTATAAGCACCAAAAGTTCAGTAGATTTTAGCTTTCTGTTTAGTTTTTGCTAAAAATTCATTTTTTCATGGATGCCTTAGTTTTTCATTCTTTCTAAACATGTTATAGCAGTTTGCAAAGAAGTAGTTGCTTTTTTGTCTGCAACTTGAGGAAATTGCATATTGATTTGTTCACAACTTGACATTTAAAGATTCAGGTTGCTTTTTGTTGCATGTATTGTTTTGGGCTCAAAACATTCCCTTTATATTTCCTGACATGTCTACATTTATTTCAGATAGATTCAACACCTAATTTGGCTTTTGTTCATAGCATGAACATGTCATAGTGCAGTATGAAAAGTGATAATAATAGTGTAAAATAAACTGTTCAAGGTGGGAGGCACTCTGCCCTGGAGGCTCCAGGAGTCCTGAGCGCCCAGAGGGAATCAGGGACCCCCAGTCCCGGCACACCTGTGACGCAGACACAGTACGTGCCGTGGCAGGCAGGTCTGCGGCTCTGCTGTAAAACTGCCTCAGCAGCATCTTTTCCTCCTGATAAAAGTGACTGATACTATGCTTTGATAACATAAGAATTGCATTTGCTTATCTTGCTAGTGTACATTGGTAATGACAGAGCTAGCACTTTAATTAGTTTTTCTTGTTCCATGTCATGTTTTCAGATTGGATCTGGCTCCTCTCGTCTTGGAACAGCAGCTACTATTAAAGGTAGATGTGATCTAACTTGAAAGTTGTCTCTGACTTTCCATTTCATTTTTAGTTGTAATATAGATAACTGAGCATTTTATATTCACATGTAATGAAAAATTGTTCTTGAAATTATTTTGTAGATAAAACTGTTCATCTTTTACTAAAGGCTACTTGATTTATACTGTGTTTCCTTTTCATCACCCAAATTGCACAAAAGTATTTGACCATTTTCATTGCATTGCATGGAGTGTACATTTTGATCTATAAAGAAACTTCCTTGCCTGGAGGGAAAATACTTTTTTGTGTGGGTTTTAGTGAGGTTTATGGAAAACTGAGTAATTTAATGCGGAACCTTTAAATTGGCTGCAAATGAGATACTAAGAAGAGGTAAATGTTTTTTCTATACATTTGATATATGTCTTTTATTTTGTATACTTATTTCAGCTAAATTATATTATTTTTTCCCTATAATTTTTTAGCTAACTAATTTGCTCTTGGAAAGAAATTTATGTTGATTCAAGTTATTACGTGATCTTTATTATTTTAAACTGCTTTTCTAAAAGAAGAAATAGGTTTATTAGCTAACAGTGTGATGCCTTCCATATTTTTCTGCTTGCAGTGCTATTAGGATAGCTGTGTGGCCTGATAGTCCGCTGCTTTAGTAGCTACGGTGCACTCATACAGTGTGTAGCAAACTGATACAGTGGGTATTCGCTGTACTCCTTGACGTCCTTCCTTGTTATGACATACTGTACACTCATTACTTTTTTTTTTCATTACTTTTAATATAATGTCTTCACACATTTGTCTTTACTTTGTAGGAGATACAGACACTGCTAAGACTTCTGACGATATCAGTTTAAGTCTGGGCCAGAGCTCTAGTCTTTGTAAGGAAGGAAGTGAAGAACAAGGTAAGAACGTTATGCCTCACAGTGACGTTACAGAGTGCGGGGACCAGGGTGAGTTTGTAGAATATGCTGCTCACATTTTGGCAGACGACTTAATGATTTCATATGTATTTTTTTTAAAAAAGATTAAAATAAAATTATTTACTAGGATAATAGTAATACAGTGCCATAAGAACTTTTAGCTGGCTGGAATTCAGCTGGACACGTGCTGCAAACTACACGTGAAGAGAGAAGTTTTATGAGTGCGTGCCCTAGGGTGAGCATGAAATGGGAGAAAAGACTGCAGCTCCTTTAGCTGGTCAAAGCATCTTGCTTGTGTAAAACTGTTCCATTCAGTAAGATCTCTAGATGCCACCTGTGCTTCATACCTTGTCTAACAATACGTTTTATGAGAAATAACTTGCGGTTGGAATTTCTGAGAAACTGTATGATTACCACCAACATGGCGCCTGCCCCCTGTAAGTAGATTTTTAATAGAAATTTTGGATTTAAGTGATTTTTCCCCCTTATTCAACTCCATTATAAATGAGTATTTTGGATTTTTTGGAGTCAGTTTTTTAAAGGACTGCGACATGCTCACATTTGATTTTTGTTCAAACATGAAAGGATGTATATGTCATCCCGATTTTCAAGTGGAGACTATCCCAGGTTATAATCAGTGAGACAGGAAGTTGTCTCCCTCGTCCCAGCCTGGTGTTATTATTAGCCTGTTGGTGATGTTTGCTAGGCAGGCAGGCTGATAAATTTCCTGTCATTAATTATGAAACTTATTTATGAAGTTATATGTAGATCACTAAATGGCGGCATTTTTCCATTAATACAGGTTCAGTTCTAACAGCTGTATTTTTCTTTCTGGTAGTTGGAGTTTTAGTTTATCACTGTAACCCTGCTTTTTTAGAATCGTAGTGCTCCATTGTTTATTTGCTTTTGTTGGCCACCCCCACCAATCTATCCCCCTACCTCCAGTACTCTTAAACATACTTTGTGATGTGCAAACTATCTGTTTTTTCATATAAAGTAAAGATAAATTGATTGGTTTGAGAATTACATTTTCCTTTCTCTAATGTTCAGTTATCAAAATGTCTAAAAAATTAATAATTGATCTCAGAAGAGCTAGTGCATTTAGGGGTCCTGTATCTTTTTACTTTATATCTGGAAAGCACCGTGCACAAGTGGGAATTTTGTAGTGTGGCAGGTTAAGAATTAATACACCACAGACCTACCCTTGCAGATACTTACTGACATAGATACTGAGTGCATACTGTTACCTAGGTTAGGGGTCAGTAAGCTTTTTCTATAAACAGACAGCCTCTTAGGCTGAAAGGTCTCCTGCAGCTTACTCGGCTCTGCGTTGTAGAGTGAAAGGGGCCACAAGTAACATATAAATGAGGGGGCGTGGCTTGTTACATGGCTCTTGCAGGCCTTAGTTAACCCCTGGTGTAGGTCTTCTTTTCAGCTTTTATATGCACTCACCCAGTTAATCTTTACTGTAAGCGTTTAATGTTAATACTGTTATTACTCTCACTTTACAGATGAGCAAGTCATGGCTTAGAGCACAGGTGGCAAACACAAGGCCCGTGGGCCGAATCCAGCCCTCCACCGTGCGTTACCCGGCCAGGCACCTTGTTTCTATCCAGCAGCAGTGCTGAGCTCTCACTTAATTATTGAGTAGTTACATGTATACAGTCCTAAAATTCTGCCCTTTGAAGGCAACCGTGAGGCTGATGTGGCCCCTGGTGAAAATGAGTTTGATACCCCTGCCTTAGAGAGAACTTACAAGAAACTTGACCAAAGTCATTTAGCTAAAGAGCGGCAGTCCTGTAATTGAAATATAGTTTTGAATTATGCTTTTAATGCTGTACTGTTCTGCTTTCATGTAGGTTTATAACTTGTTTTTATTACACAACATTTTCTCACATAGCTAACATGTAACATTACCTAGTACTCATTACATACCGAGCACCACCACTCTAAGTACCAGGAAATAAATCAGTGAACAAAAGATAAAAATTCCTGCCCTCATGTAACTGCTATACTGTGTGCGGATTTATACTGGAATATGTATAACTCTATACAGTAATAGGGACAGAGGGTGGGAGGCGCTGGGGCTGGGGAATTGTAAGCTTCAATAGAGCAGTTGAGGGAAAGCTTCACTGAGACCAAAGACGCCAAGGAGGTGAAGAGTGAGTTCTCAAGATACTCCCCCCAGAAGTCCTGAAGTAGGGGCAGGCCTGTCAGCCTTGAGAAATGGTGTGGTTGGGGTGGCCTAAGTGGGGGGGCACATTGTAGTCTTGTAAGCCATTTTAAAGGTTTTGGTTTCAATTTCCAGTGAGATCAGGAATTGCTAAACGTTTTTCGCAGATGAGCATCATGTGTGATCTGTTCTATTTTAACAGAATCACTTGACTCCATGTTGAGAAAATGTTAAGGGGCAAAGGCTGAAGCAGGAAGTTCAGTTAGTAGATTATTGCAGTAATTCAGGACACAGATTAGGGTATTGAGAAGTAAGTTTGACTGTGTGTAGAAGATAGTAATGAGAGGGTATGTTGATGCTGATGGATTTGAATATATCACCTGAGAGAAATCGTAGTCATGGATGATTCTGAGGTTTGGGGTTAAGCACTGAGGAGGGTGGAGTCCCTGTGAACTGAAAGGGGGAAGACTGAGAAGGAGCAGATTTAGGGGTAGGCAGAGCAGGGAGGAGGAGGATGGATAGGGAGTTCAGTTTGAGGCGTATCAGGTATGGGGTGCTGATAGATCTCTAAGTGGCAATGATTAGATAATTATTTAGATCTGAATTTCAGGTAAGAAGCCCGGGCTCAGATTTTAAAATTACGAGTTTTCAGTATGTAGCTATCATAAAATTCAGTCATGTTAATTGTAGGGTTGTGTTATCATGACATTCATAAACTAACAGGGCAAGCCTGCATGGTTAGCCAGTTTGGACCTGAAGTAGCCTGGCTCAGAGATCCAAATCTGCGTTAGCCTGGGCTGTGGTTTGGCACCACCTAGTGGCAAGTGTCCATTCTGGCTTAAATACCTGTTGGGGTTCTTGTTTCCCCAGTTGGTTTGGATTTACAGGAAGTTGATCTTTAGTTGGTTAGTTGATTAGCTGGCACTTGTTTTATCAGCATGAGTCAGGATAATTGGGAGAAAACTTAGCAAGTGGAGCTGTGTACTCTTCTTTTTCACTTCTAGGAGGAGATTACCTGCAGTTCCCCCCTCCAGATTCACTCATGATTTCTCTACTCAAGATCAGAACTTTAGCCCATCCCCATATGAGTAGGGGGCTGGGTTGAAGATGGAGGAACTAGTTACAGGTATTTCTGGATTTTAGTTATGAGGCCAGAAAAACGAGTTTTCTATAGAAAGAGACTAGAGATAGAAAAGTGAAAAGTTCCAAGGCTTGCACCCTGAAGCACTCCAGTGAGTAAGTCCAGGGGGCTGAGCACAACCGGTGAGGCAGAAGGAAAGGCGGGGCCGTTGCAGCCAGAGTCCCAGGAAGGTGCCAGTCCGGCAGGTGACAGCAGACCGAGACTCCACCATTGGGTTTAACAGTGCAGAGGTTTGCTGGTGACTTTGACAAGCATCTTAACAGAGTGGGATTAGAATATATGTAAGAGAGAATTAGAGGAGAAGTATTGAAAACCGTGAACACAGATTTCCCTTCTGGTGAATTTATGTAAAGGGGGACAGAAATAGAAGATGCTAGGAGGGGAAGTGATGACAAAGGGGAGATTTGGGTTTTGGAAGAATATGTAGGAGAAGTAACAGCTCTTTTTTAGATATATAATTGGTGGGGATGACCCAGAAGAGAGGAAGAAAGTGTGATTTTTATTTGTAAAAGTAGTATATGCTAATTTTAGAAAATATAGTTATGTATGAAGAAATTAATCATATTACTGCCATCGAGATAACTACTGTTAATATTTTTTGATGTGTCATTTTTTCTTATTTTTTATTGTGACGTAATTCACATACCATAAAATTCACCCTTCTAAAGTGTAAAATTCAATAGTTTTTAATACATTCTCAAGGTTGTAAGCCTATTACCACTATCCAATTCCACAGTATTTTTATTATCTTCAAAAGAAGCCCAGACCCATGATACTCCACATTTCTTTCTTCAGACAACCTTTGGCAACCGCTGGTCTACTTCCGTCTGGGCATTTGCCCATTCTGAATGACATTTCATATAAATGAAATTGTCTCATGTGTGGCTTTTTGTATCTTTTTCTTTTGTTTGGCATGTTGTAGCATGTATTAGGACTTTATCCCTTTTTATGGCACAATGTGGTATATTACTTTTAATATTCCTGCAAACATTTTCACATACACTTAGTATTCTTCTTAACTCTTACAGATTGGAATAATACTTTAATATAGTGCCATCTTTTTCACTTAAGTATTTTCTCATATTATTACATAATTTCTGAAAAAACTTTTCATGCCTGATATTATTAATAGACACCATAATTTATTCAGCCATTTTTTGGAGATTTCAATATTTTTTGTGTGTTTTAAGAAGTTTAATAAGAACACGAGAGGAATAATTTTTTGCTAAAGTGTATATACATATTTGGTTTAATCCTTTTGCAACAATGTCTGGAAATAGATTACCGATCGTGGGTGAGTACACTTTTGGAAGGCTTTGGCCGTGTTACCTGATTGCCTTACAGCAGGTTACACCAGTTAGTGCCACTGTGAGCAGTGTGTGAGCATGTCCTACCCTGAAATCCACTAGTGACAGTCATGGGGAGAAGGTTAATTACATGGAAAATAACATCTCTCTGTATTGATTTGAGTCTGTCTTTGACTATTACTAACAATAAGAAAAATATCTAATGTTGGCTAAAAAGTTTTCTGAAACCACCTAATGTTAAAGTTTTTATGCTATATTTATTTTGCAATGTTGAAAAGAGCACAGGTACTAAAGCACGTCCGACTCTGTTAAAATGAGGAACTTACATTTCTGCTTTATTAATGTCTTGGGAGTTAATTTCGATTGTTAGCATTAAAAAAAGTCTTTTGTTATATATTAGAATTGGTGATCTTTAGCTACTTGTTCAGGTCAGTTTTGTTCTATAAAATTCATAACCTTAAAATGTAAATATCACACCATTCTGTAGTTGCTTATTAGAAATATAGAGAGAGTTTATAACAATAACTTTATAATTGCATACTGCAACAAATAAATAAAGTGCTAACTTTCAAATTTTGGTGTTTAGAGAATGTAGGACCCTAAGCACAGTGACCGTTGCTTCCAGCACATGACGGATAACCCGGATTTTACTTACCTTAAAGACTTTAGAATGTAAAATCAAGCCTAACAGGTCATTTGTAAATCACAATTTCTAAAGTATACATTTCTAATCATTCTTATTATATATTAATCTCAGGGGAACTCTGCATTTATTGTGGAAATTCTACTGGGAAGAGTCTTACTTGCAACAGAATCTATTGTATTTTTTTCTAAGGAGTTATGACAAATCAGAATAATTTTTCTTTTTATTGAACTAACAGCAGATTCAACCATCTTGTTACTCAAAAGTGTATTAAAAATAAGCTGTTGTGGCAATTTGGTTGTCAAGCTATGTTTCAAGAAAAATTACAATGTAAGTAGGTAGGTAGGTGGATTTATTTATATTTATATCTGTAAACATAGTATATGTGGTAACTCAAGTCACCAACCCACTGCCCTAAATGGAGGGTTAAAGGGATAGGCTTAGAGGTATAAGGGGATATAGAGTTTTCTCACGAGGCATTTTGTAATTGTTCCATCAACGGTGAAATGAGAAAGTGCAATATTTTGCCACACAATTATTGTTTTAATCTTTTAGTTGTTATGAACTATTTTATCTTGTTTGGGTATTGGTCAGCCTTTTAATCTTTTTTCTGTTTCTGATGATCCTAGGTTTTTGTCGATTTGTGAAATAATCATTAGTTTTTCAGGAAGATTTTTGTGTTAGGTAAAATAGCGATAGCTACCATTAACTGTGTCAGGCACTGTGCTAGGCAGTGTAGGTCGTATCTCCATTATCCCATGGTCCTGCTCAGTGAGGTTGATGCTGCATTTTGTAGATGAGAAAGCAGAGGCTTAGAAAGGTAGTCCAGGGTTGCCCAGGTAGTGAGTTAGAGACAGAAATCACATAAAAACCTAGGTCCGTGTGAAATACAGTCCTTTGTTGCCTCTCGTTGTTGACCATCTGTAGAACCTGAGGCTGCTGGTTCATTCCATCAGTACACGGCCTTCTTGTGCAGCCGTGAAACAGAAACCAGCTCTTTGGAATGACTGGCCAGTTGTTAGGGGATTGCTTGAGAAATTTTTTGTACGTGATTTACTGTATGTTCTGAGTTCTTTCTATTGTTAAAACAGTAGGAAAGGAGATCATGGATTTGGGTTAACATTTCCAAATATGTGTTTGAAACAGATTTGGCAACTGATCGGAAGCTCTTCCGTCTGGTCTCCAATGATTCCTTCATCTCCATTCAGCCTTCCTTATCCTCCTGTGGACAGGACTTGCCAAGAGATTGCAGCGACAAAGTGAGCCTGCCAAGTCACAGCCACCACCACCATGTTGATCAGTCTCTGTCCAGTGCCTGTGACACAGAAGTAGCTTCTCTCGTCCCTTTACATTCACACTCGTATAGGAAAGATCACCGGCCACGAGGTGTGCCACGGACCTCTAGCTCTGCTGTGGCTTTTCCAGATACTTCACTGAATGACTTCCCTCTGTACCAGCAAAGACGTGGGCTAGATCCAGTTAGTGAGTTAGAATCTTCCAAACCTCATTCTGGATCCAAAGAATCCTTGGTGGAAAATTCTCGTTTATCTGGGGAATTTCAGCTTGTTGGTGAGCTGAAAAACAGTCGTTCTCAGCCACCTACCAAAAGTGGGAAGAGCAAACCTTTGAAAGCGGACAAAAGCATGGACAGCTTGAGGAGCCTGAGCACGCGGAGCAGTGGGTCCACAGAGAGCTACTGCAGTGGGACGGACCGGGACACCAACAGTACCGTCAGCAGCTATAAAAGTGAGCAGACCAGCTCAACGCACATAGAGAGCATCCTGTCGGAGCATGAGGAGTCTCCCAAAGTAGGAAAGAAAAGTGGTAGGAAAAAAGAGTGCTGTGCCGACCCAGAGGACCAGAGTAGCTGTACCAGTGACAGAAGGACTAGTAGTGAAAAGACTGTCTTGGAAGTGAGTACAAATAGTGGGGTTCAGGAGGCCAAGGAGTCTAATACTTCTGATGATATGCACAATCAGAGAGGTCTCAGCACCTCTGCATCTGAAGAAGCCAATAAAAACCCCCATGCAAATGAGTTTACTTCGCTGGGGGACAAACCACTTGGGAAAGCTGCTGAAAGCAAAGAGGAGCAGAGTAATAAGTCCGCTGTTTCAGTGGACTCAAAAGTTGGGAAAGATGGTGGAAAGCAAAAGGAAGGAGATGTACGACCTAAATCCTCTAGCCTAATCCACCGGACAGCCTCTGCCCATAAGTCAGGCAGGAGACGGACAGGAAAAAAACGAGCCAGCAGTTTTGATTCAAGTCGGCATAGGGACTATGTTTCCTTTCGAGGTGTTTCTGGTACCAAGCCCCACAGTGCTATATTCTGTCATGACGAGGACTCCAGTGACCAAAGTGACTTGAGCAGAGCATCCAGTGTTCAGTCTGCTCACCAGTTCAGCAGTGATAGCTCTTCTAGCACCACCTCTCATTCGTGCCAGTCTCCCGAGGGCAGGTACACTGCTCTGAAGACCAAACATGTCCCTAAAGAAAAGGGCAGTGACTCTGAGCACACACACAAAGCTCATTTGGGTCCTGAAGGAACTGGCAAAAAGCGGACGGCACGTCGGACTTCCAGCACAAATAGTGCCAAGACCCGGGCCCGAGTGCTGAGCCTGGACAGTGGCACAGTGGCATGTTTGAATGACTCCACGAGACTCATGGCACCTGAAAGCATAAAACCCTTAACCACTTCAAAATCAGACCTCGAGGCCAAAGAGGGAGAGGTGCTAGATGAGCTGTCTTTGTTGGGACGGGCTTCCCAGTTAGAGACAGTCACTCGATCTAGGAATAGCTTGCCAAGCCAGGTTGCATTTCCTGAAGGTGAAGAGCAAGATGCAGTCAGTGGAGGTAAGTAAATTACAGGAAGAGATTTCCCCAAGAGTCATTGCAATTATTGCTGCTATAGATTAGAGCAGTACTTACTGAAATACGTTTTGTGTTACTATTGCTCCCCTTCCACTCTGTTATTGAAATAGAGTTTGTTCCATGAAGAAGGAAATGATTATCTTAGGTAAGGTTTTGGTATGAACACCAAGAAAATATTTTTTTCAGTTGCGTTTTTGAATATATCAATTTATCCTTGATGGCATTCACCTTTTTCTAAGCTGGTTGTCAGCCGTTAATAATAAAAATTGGTCCTCTTCCTTCTTTGTACAACAATAGCAATGACAAAATGGGCAATTTCAGTAGGGTGCCAAACCATTTTTAGTAATCTCTTCCATACAGTGAAAGTGCACGCAGCGAGCTTTCAGAATTAGGTCACCCAACCTATCATAAAGATTCCCCCCAAATACTGTATGTAGTACTGTAGCTGTATGTACTTCGAAAACGTGTGGTGCTTTTATGTCTGTGTCTTTGGTTTTATCTTTTCTTACTTAGGTTTTAGGCATTAAGAACATTTATTTTTCTGTAACTTGACACTTTCCATAAAGTTTATTAAGTCAATATTTGTCATTCATATTGGGCTTTAGTATCTATTAATATGTGGTACGCTCTGTGATAACAGAGACAGTGTTTTGGTTAAAGTAATAGCTTATTTCAAATTTCGGGAAATCGTATAAATTTGATAGGTGATTTTATGTGCTTTGGCCATTTCATTTATTTCAGAGTTGTTTCTTGGGGTTCCCTCCTGTCTGTAGTTGCTTGTTTATTCCGTCCTGGTTATTTTGGAGTCTGGTCCTTGACTAGATGAGAAGAATGAAACCTGTTGTTAGCACTGTAGCTTCTTCGTCCGCCATCCCCATTCCCTTTTTTCAAGCTTGCATCTTTAATTTTAAAGCTTATATGGTCTGTTGGCGTGATAACATTCAGCATTAAAAATTATGCTGAATTTTTTGTTTGTACAAACATTCTGAAATGCAAAGACATGTTTTTCTTAAAGGATTGTAATTTTGCCCAGAGCATTTTAAAAGCCCATATTGTGGTAAAGACTCTATCGTTTCTTTGTCTATAATAGCTTGTAACAAAGATTAATTTCTAACAAGAATGTAAAAAAATGATCTTTTTAAACTAAGAAAGAAAATAGTCTATCAAGCCTAAATATTGAGAACTAGTTATATTTGAAGTGATTGTAGCCACCCCTTGAGTCTTTGACGTGGATGTCGTTGTTTTCTTCATGAAAGGTCTGGTTCGCTTTCAGTGGCTTCTCACACAAATCATGTCATACACGCTCTCAACAGGCTGGAAACCACTGAGTTTTACAATAGTAAAACTCGACAGTAGTAAAAATAGTAATACTCGAATTCTACTTTCTTAACATAATACCGAGAGAAAAACATTTTTTTATAACATCTAGTCTGGTAATATGGATTTTAATCTTATTTTGGCAGCAATATGTCATGTAACTTATCTTTCGACATTTAGTCACATGACAAGTAACTATTTTCCTAGGACTATTCACTATTAATTAAGTACTTCGGTTAAAATTACATTTCATCAATAATGTTCTGTGATTGCTTAGGTAGGAAAAATGTCTTAGATTCCAATGAAGGCATTTCTTCTGTTGCTCTCAATTTGCATAATTTTACAGTTATAAAGCATATCTATTATAATTTCACCAATATTTTAAAAGTAAAATACAGACAAGTTACATATGATAGAAAAGTGTTGTTTTTCTTGCTGGTATCACTTTTAAAAAAACATTTTCTTTTGGGTCACTTAAACTTATTTCTTGCATGAATCAACAGATTATAAAAAACAAATCAGAATACAAAGGTTTATACACACTCTATTATTTTTTGTACTTTTTTCCTGAATTTCTTAACCTATTTTTTTTGTTTGTTTCTTTGAGAAAATGATTTCCAGTGTAATGTTTGGTTCATCATCCTGTAAGCACAAAATAGGATCCTATTATAATATTTTTGTGTTTGGGAAGCAAAGATAATCTTCTGTTAAGGGAATATTACTTTACCCAAAGAAAGTCAAATCCTTTCTGATAAATAGTTTTTGAGGGCGTGTGCCATACATGTAAATTGAAGGTTGGTTTTTTTGAACCCAAATATTGAACATTAGAAAAGACAAAGACTACTGCACAGACGAGAACATAGAAATTAAAGCTTTGTAGTCTACTAAATAGAGGGACTCTAGATTCCAGCGAATTAATTTTCTGCTCTTCTTGTCCACATGGTAAGTTTGAAGGAAATTTATAGAAGAGGTGGGGCACTTGTAGAAGCAAAAGTGGTAACAGCAGACGACATGCTCTGCTAACACTAAAAGAGGAGCTGGAATAAGCATGTAAAACCAAACCAAAACACCACAATGATACGGGGTCGTTAAGTGCAGGAACAAATTGTGTTTTTAATTTTAATAGTGGTTAGTGACATCCTAGTATCATAACTTAATACTGTATTGTAGTATAATCCAAGAATAAATGCATATGGTTGTTATGGAAAAATTACAATAATTAATAAATAGCAACACAGAAATAAACACTTTTGTGCATTCACAACTGTGAACCTACTTTTGCCCACCCTGTATGCGACTGACCCTAATTCATTACGGAAAGATTTTATTCGTCTATACTGAGAAGAAAGCTTAGACATGTAAAACCACGTAGAAAAACGCTCATTAGATGCAATAAACAGGTTTGGATGTGTCAGTCACTTGGAAAAATTATCCTAAAAGCATCCAAAAAAGTGGTATTTATTGATGAGGCAAATAAATGTTTGTATGTGGAATCCCGAAAACCAGCCCACACCTGATTCTGTGTGGCAGGAATAGACATGATAGTCAGTGAAGTTCTGGATAAGGGATTGAATGGGTACGTTTCAATACCACCTCTAATTACTAACTGGATACTCCGGTAAGCCATTAATTCTGTGCCTCAGTTTCCTCAATTGTAAAACAGAAATAACTGTGTAGACTTGTCTCACAATTAACTATGAGACTCTAATAAGCTTAAGTATGTGAAAGTGCTTTGTAAGTTACAGATTTATTGTGGAAATGAAGACACTGATGGCTTTTAATCATTTGTAAGGGAGTTTTCTTTTTTGAATATGTCATTGTTATAGGAAAACGAAGCAACCAGACACCGAGGGATTCTGGAGTACGAGGTTTATTAATGTGCACAGGCGCAGAGGAGGCAGTCTCCAAATTCTGAGCCCCGAACAAAGGATTCTTGGGGTTTATGTAGCCTATGGGGTCTTCCTGTCTACGTAGCAAAGCAAGATACAGAAGCGGAATGCGGTAATTAGGTCTATCTACGGGGCAGAAGCAGAGTACAAAGGCTAAATGTGAAAATTAGTTCTATCAGCGGGGGTGCTAGTCCCAGTCCTTGTGACTATCCTGCTGTTTGCTTTTTCCAGAGGCCTTATCACTCTCCCAGGGCGCCTGGGGTTTTGGGTGAGCAAAGGTTTTTCAAAGCTTTCCACATCATCATGGCAAATACTTTTCATTAATGTCCCGTTGTTAGGTGAATCTCCTGAAAACATATACAAAATTGTTTTTGAGTGCAGCTTTTTGGGAGACAGTCAGTGTCTTTCATCTTCTTCCCAAAGGATTTAAAAAGATTAGGAACTACCTATGAAAGTAATTCTTAAACTGTATATTTCAGGAATTGTTCTGTGTGAATTACGACTCCAGAGTTAACTTAATTTCCTAAAAACATTTCTTCTACCCAGCTATTTTTGTTTGGCTGTCTGGGATTGTGGAAAATATCAGTAAGGATATGCAAATTCTCTTCAACCCAAGTCACAGCTAATAATTTTGTTACTTGCTGTTTGTTGATTTACTTGTCAAAAAGAAGAGTAGACTTTCCCTGGCCAGGTGGCTCAGTTAATTGGAACATCGTCTGGTAAACCAAAAAGGTTGTGGGTTTAATCTCCCATCTGGGTGCAAATGGGAGGCAACCAATTGATGTTTCTTTCTCACATTGGTGTTTCTCTCTCTGTTCCTTCTCTCTAAAATCAATAAAATATATCCTTGGGTGAAGATAAAAAATAGTAGAATAGTCCTTTACAGTGTTTTTACAGATGAAAATTATTTTAGTTCAGAATGAAAAGTTGTTCAGTAGATTCCCATTCTTTGCCCTCCCAGAAAATGGCACTCATAAAAAAATGTTTCAGTATTAGAACAAATCTTTGCACGCTGGTGTTAGCGGCATCCTTGGCTGACATGGGAAGTTAAGACAGGGAAAAGATGATTAGATAAAATGGATTTCATGCCTACACTATAGTATTTCTTTTATATTTTCTGCAAGTCATTTAAATGTTGGCTATGGTGGGCTAGCTCAGTTGGTTAGAGTGGTGTCCAATGAGCCAAGGCTGCAGCTTTTATCCCAGGTCAGGGCACATACAGGAATCAACCAATGAATGAAAAAATAAGTGGAACAACAAATTGATGTTTTCCTCTCTCCAAAATCAATAAATTAAAAAATTATTTGAAACTTTTTATTTTTAAAGATTTTACTTATTTATCTTTAGAGAGTGGGGAAGGGAGGTAGAAAGAGAGGACGAGAAACATCCATGGGTGGCTGCCTCTCTCACACCCCCAACTAGGGACCTGGCCCACAACCCAGGCATGTTCCTTGACTGGGAATCAAACCAGCAACACTTTGGTTTGCAGGCTGGAGTAAAAAAAAAAAAAAAAGTTAAGACTCTTGTAATTTAAAAAAATACGTTTAAAAACCACATCGTCTAAATACATGTCCTTGAAAGTATTTCATAAGTCTTGTCATGGTTTTTGAATCATTTGAATATTTGTAATTTTTCTCCTTTGCCTATACATTCATAAAATTTAGTTCTACCTAGAGTCTGAATCTTTACTGTTTGCATTTTATGCTCTAACTAATTTACTAGTTAATTTCTTTTTTTTTTTAATGCCAGGAGACACTGAGTTTTAAGCAATATCAAAATATCAACTTCAAAACCTGGTTTTAAAGTGTTTTCTCTCTGCTGTCTAGTTTCCCAGTTTAAAGATTTTGTTGTTTTTCTTTTACAAAGTTAAAGGACTCAAAAAGAGTTTATTGCAGTTGGATTGTGGAAGTGAACTTTCATTAAGCTTGGCTGTAATTTATGTGACTGTGCTTATGGCATGTTACTTTAAGTGTTTTTAAAGACACTTTTCTTGACTCTAATAGAACTGACTCCCCCTGGACCCTCTGCCAAATAGAAATGTTGTGCGTGAGTAGCCCATTTCCAAGGGCATTGTTTAGTCTTATTTGTTATGCCCATAGATAATGGAATGTTTTCAGCTGAATGTGTGATCCAAGACACTGTTAAGGTAATTGCTATATTAAGCTTTGAAAATTATTTTAGCATTAGATATTTATATACTGAATATTATAGAGGACGATTTAGACAATAACCATAACTCCATTTTAATACATTGCTCAATGGATGCCTAAACTTGGTATGTTTACAAAACTATTAAGAAAGTAAGAAGTGTTAATATGTGTACTGATTTTGTAGATAACAAATATAAATGGTGTGTAAAGAGCAAAAACAAATTTTCTTTTCTGAAGCTGAAGAACGTTTTGACTGTAAGTAGACACTCTAGTTTGGCTTTTCATCCCATACTATGGAGTAAGTAGCTTTTACTTGAAATTAGCTCCATGAAGTCTTCAGTAGGAAAAAGATAGTAAAGAAAACTGTTCTCCTATTTCCCATTCTCGGTATCCAAACTTACTGCTTTTCCCCCCAGTTCTTCTGAATAATTTCAGCACACAGTATGGATTAAGTTATTCTCCATAAATTATATCTGTATAAATTTTATTCTATTTTGGTTGAAAGAAAATATCTAAAATTAGAATGTTTGAAAGTTTCTTAGTGAAGTGACTGGACCTGTAAATTGACCAATAGTTTGTTACAGTAGAATAGAAATCTTCAATATAAGTTCACAGAATATTAAATTGATTTTAAAAGAGTGATTTTAAATTCCACAACCCGAGATCACCTTACTGACGTCTAAGAGCTGTGAACAGTGACAGCAGTCTCTCACCTGGGTCTCCCTGTCCCCCATGTGGCTTGTTCCCTTTGCTCTGTTTCCCTGCATCCAGCGACTGCCTTGCCGATGTATGTTTTCCCCCAGTGACAGTGCTGGTTACGATTTTCTTGTGTTGAGTTCGTGGTTGTCAGAAACAGTCAAAGCACACAATATGCTTTGTAGATTGTGGTAACAAAAAGGTGCTCTTGACTTTCGGAATCAGCCCTGTGCTGTACAACTTCCTATGTTGATGGAAATATTCTATATTTGTACTGTAAAGTAATGGTAGCCACTAGCCACAGGTAGCTGCTGAGCATTTGAAATGTGGTTCACAAATCTGATAAACTGAATTTTAAATTTTATCTAATTTTAGTTAAGTTTAACCACAAATGGCTAGTGGCTACTATATTGGACAGCATGGTCTGGGTGACCAGATTTGATCAGCATCATTTGTTCTCACAAGTCAAATACAACTTTGCATGCATGAGCTTATAGATCACATCTTTTGCTCCTCACAGCAAAATTTTCACTGTATCAGTAAAACTAGAGAAAAAAGAAAAGAAATATTAGCTCAAAGAATCGGTTATGGTTTGGATCCAAAGCTTAATTCTTATTTAGCTGCCTAATGTTAGAATGTCACTGTAGTATGTGAGCTGAAAAAGAAATAAGTATATATAAGTACGTAATAATTAATGTAAGCTTCCTATAATTTGTGACGTATACTTCTTACTGGCAGAAGCTTGCCAGATGTGTAAACTCATTCTGTGCTTGTCATCCCTTCAATAATGAAAACAATATCTAAAGACAAAGCAGTCAGTGTCTTCTGGAGGTAGTCTGTGTATCACCAATCATGATGGATTAACTATAGAAAGAATATTTACTGGTACAGCCTAAGTTGGGGATGAAATGTAAACATTTAAAAGAATACTTTGTTTATTGATTGGCATTGATGGAAATGGCTGTTGCTAAGTAGGGTAATGATTTAAGAATTAGTAATGTTTTAAAATGTGAAGAAGGCTTGCAATAGAGCTGAAATCTAAATATATTCTTGATTTTGTAATCCATTTCATACTTTCTACAAATGGGAGTTTTCATGTATTTGAAAACAGTGCTTCTATACTAAGTTGTTTTGTCTTTAGTCATATTTCATTTCAAAATATCCTTTCTATAAATTAAAATGATTCTTATTTATATTACTAGCAAACAATTGTTTTAAATTCAAATGGATAAACATCATTTTGCATATTGTTTGGAAACTCAAGTCGATTAGTATCGTTTTGTAAAATTTTATGTAGTAATTCTGTTAAGCCATTGCTGTGATTTTTCTCATTGCGTATCGTTTTTAGTTTGTACTTCATTGCTTTTGGATTAAGTTAGGAGTTTCCATACTTGTCTTTTTGCTGATATTTGCTTCCTAATGTTGAGGGGACAGTGTTGGGACGTAGAGTTGAATCAAGTTTGATGGCAGCAAACTACTTCACCGTGAATGGGTGTTCTTCCTGCCTTGAATTGAACTTTTTCAAGACTGGTTGTGCATCCTAGCAGTCAGTGGTTTCATTAGTGCTGCCAGAGTTGTGGCCTGGGGTAGCGAGGCACACCTAGGGCCTTGTTCTCGGCATCAGAGATGAGGTAATGTCACTGCTGCTTTTTCTGTCCTCACTAGAGTAAGAAGGAAACTAAGGCCCCGTGCCCTTAGTAGGAGCTAACACACAATTATAAAGGCTGACTTAATTAAAGGGGGAAAGAGGAATATGGGGCAAAATAAGTAAGACTTTTTGAAAAACATTTAAAACATAGATCTTAAAACAGGAAATTGAGGTTGAGGAGACAATGGGGAGGCCAGATAATAGGTCAAAGACATTGTTTTTTAAAGGAACAATTAAGGTGCCTCATTAGCGCAGTAGGTAGCACGTCAGTCTCATAAAGGAACAATTAATTATCTTTAAAGAAGTGACTCATGTTTTGTGTATTCCTTACTCTGATGATTAACAGTGTATGTAACAAAACCATTTAGCTCAGTTCAACAAGTTCCCTTTACCTTTGAGGGTGGGAAGCCAGAGAGAGAGAAAGGCTCAGCTGCTAGTTAAATGTCCGACCTAGGCTCCTATTTGACCTAAGTCTGTCTTAATGCAGCAGCACAGGCCAGCGAGGAGACGGTGGCATTTCGCCGTGAACGCAGCACTTTTAGGCGCCAGGCAGTGCGGCGCCGGCACAATGCAGGGAGTAACCCTATCCCTCCCACCTTGCTCATCGGATCGCCCCTAAGGTACGGTATCTTCAAGTTCCACCAAGCTTAGCATGCCTGTCACAGACGTTCTAACGTGTTCTGTCAGTCCCAGGAAAGCATTGAAACAGCTTTGTTTTTCTCTTTATTCCAGTTTCTCTCATTTGCTTTTACGCTCTTCAGGTTTTCTCTGCATGTGACCATGAACCTATTGCATTAAGCATGCCTTATGTTGCACTTCTTAACAAAATGATCAGATCGGTGTAGCCAATTTTATTTTGGAAGAAATCACGTTACAGTAGTTTTAGAAATGTAAATAGAGGCCGTAAGCCAGCTCTTCATTTTTTCTACTCCAAATTAATAACAATTCAACATCTTTACTTTGTTTAATATAAACAAATATAGACTGAGTATTCCTCAACAAATACAAACTTGTTGAGTAATAACAGATAACTGACCTCAACTTGAAACCAGTTAGATTATTTCACTAAAATATATTTTATTTTATATTGCTGAAAACTTGGTGTTTTTATTCCATAATCACCAGGACCTGGTAAATGACATGAAATTGAAATGTTTAATTTGTGATAAAGTATGGCTAGTTGGATATATATACATATTTTTTAATGCACATTCATGTGGAGTTTCTTGCCTTCTATAGTATACTGAACAAAAACATTTTTATTTTTTTTGGTATCCTAATTAAGAAAATGTCTATTTTTAATATTGGGAACAATATTCCATTAAAATTTTGGTGTTATATTTTCAGTTTTGTAGAATCTAATGAGACTATGTCTTGTGTTAGGATTATAAAAGTCTTTCAAAAGGTTTGTGCTTTTTTTTTAAAGAATACAAATATAAACAAAAATACTGTACACGTGCTTGCTTAAGCAGTGCATATATTATACCACATACTTCTATTAATCTTTGTGTTTAAAAGCACCATTATCGGAATTATTTTTCTATATTTCCCTTTGAAATTTGAAGGGCATTTGATGAAATAATGGCTGGTGAATACATGGAAGGTTGGAAGAAATAAATCACTTCCTTTATTAAAGTATTGTTCTTAAGAGTAGTAGAATCCTTATTTCTTTATTTCATATTCCTTTAGGATTTATGACTTGGTTATTTTACATTATAATCAGGAACTTCATCTTTCATAGGTCATGTTCCTAATTAATCTTGCAGGAATACATAAGTCTATAAAAAGTAATATAGATTACTTTAATCCATATTTAAAATATAAAAATGGGAAGGCACCCATTAAAAGAAATATTTGATATAGAAACCTTTTCTGAGCGCCTTTGCTTTTTAAAGCCCTCCTCTTCTATTTCCTTCCCACCTCTCTTCCTGAGCTTTTCTTTCTGCTGATGGATTTGGGGTCTAATACCAAACTGCAGAAAGAGCTTAGCATTTTATTTTACTTTTTCTACTTTGTGTTACCTAACCTCTTCTTTTTGTCCCTTGAATAATACTTGCCATAGGGTTTTTTTGCTTTCCTATTCACTCCATGTTGCTATTTCTTTATCCTTTCATTCTTTGCCACAAACAAGTCTGCTGGATCCCACTCATCAAACAAATGTAGACAGATAAATTTTTCCTCTCCCTGGTGGAATATTAAAGAAATGTGTTCTAACTCCAGCCAGTCATGCAGGATTTCTCCATGTTTTTGTAGAATTTTAAATATTTCACTATTAAATGAAGATGTGATATGAAACCTACTTGTAAAGGGCTCACATTAGAATTTTTAAAAAGTCATCTTCCGGTAGTCAGGATGCAGACTTTGTCAGGTTCCAGGATCTTTCCAGTACAAAGGTTGTACCTATCTTAAACAGGCTGACTTCACCATGGATGAAGTGATGTAAAATTTAGCTGTGAGGAATTAGGAGCAACACCGATTCAATAAAATAATCCTTTTTTAATTGCAAAAATATTCAGGAAAAGTATATTGGTGTTAATTCTCAGTGTGAGTTAACATCATAATAATCTCATCTTAAACTAAATACAGGATAGCATGGTCATGCAAAATCTGAAAAATTTGTCAAAAAGAAATGGAATAGGTATGATAACACTTTAATTATAATTAAAATCTAAAGTAAAATCTACTAACATTTTAAGCTTTAGTGAACAGTTTAAATAATCGACAGTCTAAAAAGCATCTGGGTAAAATATGTCTCCAAGGATTGGAAGTGAATCATCAATTTCTTCATAAAGAAAATTTGCAAGAATTTTTAATGCTTATTGAATATCCCGTTTCAGAACTAATTTTAAAAGTATTTTTGTGGTGTTAAGTGAGCATCGTAGGGTAGGTTTTGTAGGCCCTCACTAGTTCTTTGGTTACTAGACATAAAGGCAAAGACAAAACTCTAAAAATTTAGTAACATTAATATGAAGAAGCCTATATGTCTGTAGTTATCAACTTAAATGTGATATTTTTTAGAACTCTAGGTAATGGGGTGGAATGAAAAAATTATCAGTGCATTTGGGGAAGGGAACAAAGCTTAGATTTATTTTTAAAAATATCATAAGATTAAAAGATCTGTAACCAGATAAAGTCACAGCAGTAAGTGCACATTTATGATCAGGAATCCACAGAGACGACTTTGTGGGGTTCAGGAATGGATCCATCGCATATTTATTGTCTGTGCACTCTGTTCAAGACCCTCTTCTGAGTGAATGTCTTGATAATGCGATCATCCTCTCTTAGTTTGCTTTTTAGTTGAAGAGACACATGCAAACAGAACCAATAGTATGTGTCAGAATATGCCAAATACTAAATAAGTGGCACACAGGAAGGAAAGGCCACCTATATTTTCTGTCATTCCAACTAGAAATGTTAATTAGTAAGGATGCACGTCAGCGACGCCACTGATGGCCGACAAAGACCTAAATTTCTACCTTCCCTTTGCTTTGTTGTAAAATAGTTGCTATCTTTCCTGAAACTAGTAGTTTTGATATGCAGTTGTACTGTAAAAAAGATTGATTATGGTCAATTATTAGCTTAAGGTGAAGTACAACCCTCGAGGAACAGTTTTCCTAATAATTTTTGCAAAAATGACAGGCTTTTAGTTGCTGAAGGATTTTGGAAACAGGAATTCAAGGGAAATGAACATTTTATGACTGGCTTTTGATGTTCAGAAACTTGACATTTACAAAAATTCCTGGAGTTTTCAGACATCACTTGATGTTTTGAAAACCTCTCTGTGTATTTGGGTATGTTGAAGATTAGTGTCTTCTCCTATGTTCACATTAAAATATACCTAACTGCCATATAGCACCTTCGTTTATGACTTTAAGTGAAAAAATTGATAGCAAAATTTGTTGAGTATATATTCTGTAAAATTCTCTTCTGAATCTGAAGGGACATAGTACTTGAAGTACCTAAATGTTTTTTCCCTCAGAATTCTCTCCCTGGTGAAATTTGGTCATTTTGATAAGGTTTGTGGATAAGTTTAGATCATTTTTGAGGAAGTATAACAGACATTATGTATGTGTAGAAAATACTAAAATATTTGATTATATTAGTTCTCAGGATTATTTCTTGATCTATGTCTATTGGACAAAAGTTCTACTCTAAGAAAGTTATTAAATGAATACAATTATAGCTTTAAAAATGCCTATAAGCATTGACAAGTCAGCATTTTGCAGAGGTGGGTTTTTTTGTATGTTGCGTACATTTTTATGCTCTACATAGAGTGCATATTTTTCATCAACTATAAATGAAGACTGGAATATGAATATTCCAGGTAGTGGTGATTACTAGAACTTTCTGTGGTGGTTCAAATATTCTATAATCTATACTGACCAGTATGGTAGACACTAACTACTAGCTTCTACCTACTCTGAAGGCTTTTAGCTATGGTAGCCACTAGCCACTCTAAGTGGCTGTTAAGTACTTGATAGGGTTAGTGAAACTGTGGAAGTGAACTTTTAGTTACTTTAAATTATCATATGTGGCTGCTGAATCAGACAGTATATTCTGTTGCTGTAACCATAGACTTAAGCAATATATGCAGCATTTTCTACTTAGTTTTTTTCATTTTATGGTTACTTCAAATGATAGCTCTCTTCATAGTCTACAGGAGATGAGTTTATTTTATAGGTATCAGAGAAACTATCGCACTGAATTCAAAGGATTAGAGAGAAGTTGATAATCATGAAGGTAATAGAGTAACTGAAGGAGGACATCTTAAGGAGCATTCTTCTCTGTTTCCTAAAAGGTCTAGTGACTTTAGTAAAAGAATGTGTTCAATTTCTACATTACGTTCAATATTGCATTGAACGTAATGTAGAGAATGATATATAACAATTATACTCAAAATGTTTTCATGAATTTAATCAGTTTAAATTGACTATTCTAGGAATATTAAAATTTGCAGTGTTTTAAAATATGTATAAAAAATAAAAAATGAGTTGAGAATATAGTATAGTTTTTTAATTTTAGATAATTTTAAGATAACATAATTTTAATTAAAATTTTTAATAAATTTATAAGCACAATACTAAGTATTTTTAGAATTTTATAAAATTTAGGAAAGACTAATTCCCCTGCAAAATTACTGGTTTCCAGATTATTCCTAAGACTTTCTAAAATGATAGGTTCTTGTTAATGATACTGTGATATGGATTGGAAAGGTACTATCAGAATGTAAGGGAACATAATTATTGTTAACTAACATCTTGTGTATAAAACCTATGGCCTTATTTCAGAACTATATAGGCTTTTACGAGAAGAAACCCTTTATGTACTAATTATACTTCCAGTGTCCCAGCGGTCACTAACTTACTTGGTCAAGTTGGTGTTTGTTACACAGATTCTCTTGCACTAGTTTGTGATTTTCTTTTGACTCAAAATTATTATCTTGGTTGAATTTCATAAGATTCTTTGGTTTTCAGATGTATAGAAATTCTGTTTTATTGTGAATTTGAGAGATCAGAATATTTGGAAGTGCAACTCTAAAATTAGTATTGTAAATAAAAGTGCACATTTAACTGAAAATGGGATTTACTTATTGGGGACCAGCTACAACCCACATATATTTTACATACTTGTGATTCTTCTTTGATGCTTTCTCTTTCCTTAAACTGGCACTTTTTTGGCTTGAGGTGGAAAAAAGTCACAGATTGATTAATTTACATATACCTTAAATGTTTCCTGTGCTAATCGCTATGAATCAGATTTTAAGAACCAGAAGATTTAAGGTGGCAGGATAACCTGTATATTTTACACAGTGTGTTGATTCTTATGTTACATTGAGAAAGTTTTGAGTTTTTTCAGATCCGTTTTTTCTATATTGACTTCATTCTAGCTATTGTTTTCTCTTTTCTTCCCTGTAATGTCTCCCCAATCCATGTTTTTTCCTAGCCTTCAAGATGGGCAGCAAGGCCAGCAGTCCACAGCCCAGGTCAAAGGCCAGTCCCGCCCCCCTTCCCAGGCTGCAGTGCTCAGTGCTAGTGCCTCCTTGCTGGTGAGAAATGGGAGTGTCCACTTAGAAGCATCACATGACAATGCATCTGCTGTAGGCGGCAGCAGTTTGCACGATGAACTTGGTATGCAGGCCTTATGTAATCTTGGTGATACAACTTTAATGCAGCAAATAATGGGTAACAGTGATTGCAGTTCTTTCCTGAGATAGCTTCATTTTGGAACTATGCGTAAAGGCAGTTTTTATAGGATTTGCTCTGTGTGTAAGGAACATTTTTCCCTTCTCTGTTTCAACTGTTACTCTGTATTTTCTTTTGAGCATGTTTATTATTAATAGGTAGTTAAAAGTATTGACAAATATTCATGCTTTGGTGTCTTTTATAATAGTTTGGACACTTCTGTTATTCCTTGGTATTTGTACCATGTGGGGAAATGATAAAAAAATTATTTCAGTCAATCCTTAATTTATTTGAATTTTCTGAGCGTGCCTCAGTAAAGGCAGCATCGCTTTCTAGTGGTCCGTATTTCTAGAGTCTTCCGTTTAGGTGTGCTGCATTTATTCCTATGCCCTTCACCTGGAGTAGGACTTCCTGTCATTCTGGAGACTGTACTCTGAAGATGTTATGGCTCTGTACTCATCAAATAATAACTTCATTAAATTTTCTTTTTTGTCTTAATACATCTGTAAATATGTTATTAAATAGTTAATTCTCAGAGAGCTGGTATAGTTTAAAATCTTAATGATGCATATCCACTGCAATACAGGTTGCAGTTTCATGCCTTAATGACAGCCTTTTTTTCCCAAAGATTTCATTGATTTATTTTTTGAGAGGGGAATGGAGGGAGAAAGTGAGGGAGAGAAACATCAATGTGTGGTTACCTCTCGCATGCCCCCCACTGGGGACCTGGCCTGTAACCTAGGCATGTGCGCTGAGTGGGAATCGAACCAGCAACTCTGCTTCACAGGCTGGCACTCAATCCACTGAGCCACACCAGAGAGGGCCTTCATAACAGTCTTTTATACCACTTTGGTTTCTATTTCTCTGTACAGTTTCATTTTCTTGTGCTCAGAATGACAATGAATAACAATTTAAATAAATATAATGAAGAAAATCTTGTTATTAAAAAGTACGCATTTGAAGGAATTCCATTTGTTCACTATGATTTTGTTGATCCATTTATAACTTTCATTTATAAAAATGATAATCCAGTTGATGCTTTGCTAGAAAGCTATGTGGTGTAAGGCGCCCAAATTAGGTATAATAAAAATTCAAATGCCACTGATTTTTTTCCTTTCATTTTGTTATACTACTTAGTTACAGAGAGATATTAATAAATATTAGATATGCATATTGATGAAAATCATCTATAGAAAATCTATAGAAACAAAAATGGTCACCTAAGATATTCATAACATTAGAATGTGTGGTGATTTCTAAATACAGTGAACGGGCGACAAAACATTTCATTTTAGAATGCTTTTGCTTTTGAATTTGTAGTTTAAAGAAGCAAGGGAATCCACGAGGAGGTTATTTGAGAGAGAATAAGGTAGACTTCAGTTGAGTTACTTTGACATACAGCAGTGGTACTTTTTTAGTTACAAATATACTCAGTTAATAATATCTTTTTAATGATACTTCTCTTGGGTTGCCCCAGAGTTCCTGTGAACAGAGGACTTGTCAGTTTGTGGCTGTGAAATCACAGTCAGCATCACTGTTGCCCATTGGGTTTATGGTGGTGGGTCATCTAAAGTGGAAAGGCTCAGATTTTATCCGTTTGGATTTTTAGACTTTTTATCAACTCAAGCATAAAATGGAACAGTAAATGATTTTCTTTTGTAAAACTTACATTGCTCAAAAAACTTGCCTAGCAAGTTTTAATTGTAAAGTCCCATCCTAAATGTACAAGCAGATTACCATATTTTTGGACCATAAGACGCACCTAGGTTTTAGAGGAGGAAAATAGGAAAAAAGATTTGAAGCAAAAAATGCAGTAAACTATTTAATGACATAAATAACATAATATTTCACCTATGTAAATGTAAACAGAACTCAACAGCAGCGTTAACAACCATTATTCCTCCCAAGTGGGCGGGGGCGTCTTATAGTTTGAAAAATACTGTATTGAAAATGTATATGTGTGAACTATGTTGGCAGTTCTAAAAATCAAAAAGCTCTTCTGATTGGAGGTGGCTTCAGCATCTACCGGTGAAGAATATTTTCTTGAAAATTGGGTTTTATCTTTTATATTTGCTGACTTCTGATAGCTAGTTGTTGGCCTGTGGTAGCCGAGCACTGCCACATCGAATGCATGGTAATGATGAACACGAAACAAGCGGTGAAAGGACAGCGTGTGCCTGTTTACAGCATGTAAGGTTGGCTCAGTAAGATTCTGAAAGTGAACTGCAGATGAGCTGATGGAATTGGTAGAGGCATTGATTTTTATAGTATAGTCTAGAATGTTTTTGTTTTCTACATTATCTAATTTGGCAATAGTAAGATAATTTTGTGTGAATTAATTTGGTATTATATAATCAGATATGTTAAAGTTAGCCAAAACATTCCCTAAAAGTACAGACTGTTTATCAAGATATCTTTCTTCCAAATTTTGCTTCTTCAATTGAAAAATTTTAAATGTACAGTATTTGTATTTGAAAATGTATACAGGCTGTCTAAAAGGTCTCCAGCCATGTAATATGAAAAATAAGAGACTTTTAGTGAAGAAGATACAAGAAACATTATACATAGGACAATGTCACCTTAGTTCCCTTTAAAGTAGGCACTTTGGGACCTCACACAGTTCTTCCAATTGCCATTATCAGCCCTGTCCTATTTTTCTGAATCTCAGTTGGTGGTCTGAAATCTCTTCCCTTTCAAAGGTGATTTTAGTTTTGGGAAAAGCCAGAAGTCGCAAGGTGCCAAATCTGGGCTGTAGCGGAGCTGAGTCACCTGGGTGATTTGATGTTTCACCAAAAAACTCTGCATGAGACGTGATGCATGAACATTGTTGTGATGAAGCTGCCCAGTCACCAGTTAGTTGCCCAAGCTGCAGCGTTCAGTCATATGAATAGTTTCTGTGGAGGAATGTTCAAGCTTAACGTAAAATCTAATGCAGATGCATTGCTCTACTTGCTCAGTTATTTTGGTTTGCAGGCCAGCACTTGATCCACTGAGCCACACCAGTCAGGGCTGCTTGCTCAGTTATTTTTGAATGTGGTGGCCACACAGTACACATGCTCACTCAGTGGCCTCTACTGCCCCCACCCACTAGTATAGTGAATTCATCATTGTTCACACGTGTGCATTACAGTCCACGCTCCTTTGGCTGCCAGGTTACATCAATGTTGCACAAATTGGTCTCATTATATTAACAATCATTGCACTTTCTCCGGACAGACCTCACGTATATACATAATACATTTATATGAAATGCTAATACACATACACACAAACTTAATATACACATACATATGTATGTTTGAGCATGTATAAGTGTCTGCACATATATGTAATTGGTTCCTTGTTTTTAATTTCAAGGCCTCTCACTGTTCTGTGTGTTTACTTTTAACCTGAGGAATATCCCTTTTGAATGAAAAGAATCTTGCAGTCAGACATTATTTAATTAAAGGCCCAGGTAGTTTTCCTTAACTGTTTTCTATATGTTTATTCTGTGTGTCATAGTAGATAACCATTTCTTATACTGAGAATCCTTATTTCTGTCTTGCATTTTGAGTAGCATTTCAAGGTTACTGGGTAAAACTGAATTATAAGTGTATAATTTAAAACCTGGTTGGAAAAGTTTGGATGGTTTTCTTGTTGATAGACTTTATTTCCATGCAAACTTATCTTTAAAAAGGTTCAAATGATATAAGTGATGGATAAGTTTTAAAGTTAGCATCTTTCAAAAAGGAAATTACTATCAAAGATTTTCTCTAATTCTTCAGAGTTGCTCTTTCTAAAAAAACTACATCTCAAAGGTTAATTTTCTTTCCACCAGTCTTTTATTGGACTTATTTATTTTCAGTTGATTACCTACTATATTCTGAATTAAATTGCAGTTTTACTAAATTTAAAAAAACTGGTTGGTGCTAGATAAGTCACATAAGAGACTCTGAACTCAGGGAGTTTTGAAATTCTGTTTTGTATCTGTTAAGCTTTTTCTATAAAATTTAGCAATTACTTCTCAGTTGTCAAGTGAATCCCAATTTCTGTGTTGAATTAAGACCAATAAATTGGTGAAATGATGGAACATTCTATTACAGTTGATAGTTAAACTCAATATGTAACATAACTTCTCAGAAGAAGTGCTCCAGCTAAAATCAGATAAAGTAGGAAAATTCACATGTCTTTTTCTGTGTGTGAAATTAGTGGTAGTCATTGCTTTGAAAAAGTACATACAGAATTACTTTACTTTCATGTAAAAATATTGTTATGTTAAAGGTAAGAAGAGTGGACAATGATTTATGTTTTTCAGAACATAAATACAAAATAGTAAATACCATAGGTAGTGTTCCTCTGATAATTTAAGACTTTCCTAATTTCATTAACGTATTAGAAGTGTAAAAAGTGATGAGTGAATTGGTTTTTCTAAGGAATTCTTTTGTTTCCTTACCATAACAAGGGTTGACAAAGAAGGTATTCTTTGAGATAATCCACTTTACTACAGAATTCATTAACTTGAACACTAGTCAGCTCTAGGAAAAGGCCTAAAGGAAATTTGGCAGGACCCAACTGCCCTTTTTATTAAGCAGTTTACCCCAGCTGTGTATTAAGCAGCAATATGATTTGAAGGCTTTAAAAATTTTCACTTTAAAAAGTAGAGACTCGGATGATCTATACTTTTAGTGATTCTTATTAGAGTTTTTCTGATTTTTAAAAAGATTGCATGTACTATGCACTACTCTGTAGCATTTGGGGCTACATCATAAGTACTTTTCCTTTCCTTGTTACTATAAACACAGATGTAAGAGAGCTCTACGGGTCCTTGGAGTCTTTCCTTCAGTCCCCTATGTTACGATAGACCATTTTTCTTTTTTTTTAATTTTATTGATTATGTCATTACAGTTATATTCCCCCCTTCGTTCCCCTCCACCCTGTACCCCCCTGCCCCCACCATTCCCCCCTTT